TTATTTGTCAGATTTAGTCCACAGTTTCAGGAGCTGTACTTCTTTATCTACAGAATTATTTGTCAGTTTTAATCCACAGTTTTAGGAGCTGTACTTCTTTATCTACAGAATTATTTGTCAGATTTAATCCAGTTTCAGGAGAAACTCTTGCGAGAGCATCACAAAAGGAGTAAGAATAGAAAAAGTTCTGGCATTTGAAAGCTTGAACCAGTTCTTTAGCACTGGAGTCTGTGGCAGCACCTTTATTGAAGCCTTTCCTTTTATTTGTTCTTTTTTTTTAAGATAACTTGTTGGAGAATGTAATTAGTCCATTGTCTTTGCTGTTTCAGTAAAGAATGACTTTTGAAGTGTGGATAACAGAAATAGACAGGTAATTCTCAACAGCTTCAGGAAACAGCAGCTGTTTATCCTCGTTTTGTTAGAGACGTGAGGAAAAGCAGCATCTCTGCACCACTGCACCACTTCCCAAGACGAAGAATGTGTAGAATTAGGCAATGTTTGTAGTTAATGACTGACAGGATATAAAGAGGAAAGTCAGTGTGTTTATAGGCTGAACTGGGAGCATTGGCTAGGAAAGTGGTGTGAAGTTTCTGCTTAAAGAACCTGAGGTTTCCTCAAAGTTTCCAACTCAAAAGTACAGCATGATCCATTTGGCAAGCTTGCAAGTTATATTCTTTAAATTGTTACTTTATAAGGCTGTACGTGATGCATTCAAGTGACAAATATACTTTTAATAGTGCTTTGCGAGACAATGGTAGTCCCTCAAATGGCCCACAGCGACTGCAGAGAGAACGGAGGGGATCTGCAGCGCTCCGAGCAGGAATGTGTGCAGGGATGAGCAGCACCTGGTCCTCACGAGCACTTCAGGTTAAATAAGCATTTAATTCAAGACTTAATCAACATTTGTCAGTAATTAAAGAGCTTTTAAAAATAAATAAGAGTAAAAATTACATATGTACATGAAAATAGGAGCAAATGTACAGGATAAATCCTCTCCTCCTGTAGGACCTGTGTTGTGACCGGTGTCTAACAACAGAGCTGAGTACACATTCCTCCTGTTATTACCACAAAGTTTTATTTTGGTGACATACTGAGGGAGCACTGGTCCCTGAAGCCAGCAGTCAACACGTCCAAGGATGGAGCTCAGTGAGTAAAGCAGCAGTGCCACCTTGTGATCGTAGGCTGCAAACCAATTCAGGGCTTTTCAAATATTGCTCAGGGGCCAGACATCCAGCAGTTATTCTCATTAAATAAGTTTGTTTTATGGTTTAAAATCCAGTTTTATTTAAATATGAACTCACTGGTGGGCCGAACTGAGCTCAACTGTGGACCTGATTTGGCCCCCGGGTCACCAGTTGAATAGCCCTGATCTTCAACTCCATAGAAAACACGTAAAATTATCCTATTTGAAGTACAATTCTTTTTCATTATTCCATCCGTTTTCTATGGAACACCAAAATGCTCAAAATGAAATAAATAAATACAGAATTATGAAATAAGAAAAAAAAAAGGGTTATTTCATAATGCTTTATTTATTTATTTATTTCATTTTGAGCATTTCGGTGGTCCATATTTTTAAACCTATTGTTAGTTTTAATAGTGGCAAACACATTGTTCAGATTAGAATCATAGATTGTTTCATTAACTTAAACGTTATTCACATAAAATAAAACAACCACAAATAAAATCTTTCAGTATTTTTATTCTTCTTCACATACAATACTTTAGAAAACATATATTTATACCGATTCATATTAAAAATAAAAAAATAAATATTTCAACCACCATTAACCAATTTCCTTCGACTTTTAATGGATGTTTTTCAAGATGCTGCAGAGATTAGGCTTAAAACAACTTCTAGAGAAAGAAAGAAAAAAGACTTATGTGGACTAAAGCATCACAATGACATAAAACCATATTTCACTTTTAAAGTGAGGCAATAAACTAAACAAGAACAAGAGTAAATAAACAAACTATCCTGTAATAAACATTTGGATCAAGAAATGAACTGAGCTCAGATTCTGCTGCCATAAAAACAAACGCTAATGAATAAATACAAAAAAACACTAAATTTATATATAAAACCACAAAGTGACAGTTGAAAGACACAAAAAATACGACAAGATTTAGTTAAATGGCAGTGCTGGGTTCAACCTGAGGCTGTGTTCAGATTAATTCCTCCTCTGAGTCGTCAGTTTTACCACTTTTAAACCCGAAGCCTAAAGCGTTTGGAGTCTTGGCCTTTCTGCTGAGTGACACCGAACATCACGGACTCAGATCAGAGCATAAGATGCTTGCATTTGGATTTTAAAGCATTTTGGATGTCTGGCACAAAGAAAAGAAGCATCTTCTAAAGGAGTTGACTGAGCCGTGTGCAGTCTAAATATTTACTGAGAATTGGCCGCTTTACACCGGGCTTTACATGCTCATAGATGGCTTTTAGAGCCGTTTATGAAGAATTTAAGGTTGTGAAGTGGGCTTCCTGTAAACACAAAGTAGAGTGCTCGGAGTAAAAAAAAAAAAGCTCAAGTCAGAATAAGATATGCAGCTGTAATCTGATTACTCTGATTAACAAAGGGTACATTTTGGAAAGAACTGTGAGGATGAATGTTGACAGACCACCCCTCTCAGCTGCCGTAAAGATGATTCAAGTTGAAGTTTTGTGGCAGAAGTCCAAATGAAAAAACAAACAGAAAAAGTCGACAGAAAAAAAAGAGTAAAGACTCGCTTTGAGATTTCTAGTTTGTCACTTGATATTTTCGACAATAATTTGTGCAAACATTTATCAAAACAGGTCAGAAATGTGTTCAGTCCTGCTTTACAACAGTGTGACAACATGTAGCTGCTTTCATTTGTTAAGGCTGGAAAATGACAAGAAAACGCTCCCCGTCTGTGAGCTTCATGATTAAAAAAAAATCTAAAAAAATAAAACGGATGCATATTTTCAGTTATAGTTGTAGTGCTGCATTGTTCTTATTACGTTGACTTTGGTGAAAGGATAACAGTTTTCCACAGCAGAGTGAAAAAGATGTGAGAGGATAATTTCCTTCGAGTTATAATAGTTCTAAAAATAGTTTCAGTGTGTCCGACCTCACCACAGCTTCCTTTTCATTCAACCTTTATACAGGTTAGTGTCATTAAGTCACGAGGACTCATTTTCAACAGAGACCTGTAGAGACCTTTTCTGTGAAGACACTTTCTCAACCATGTCTTTTAATAACTTGAATAATTCTAATTTCAGCCTTTAAAAGTCTCCGTGTTATCTGACACACCAACTCACTTCAGTGAGACAGAAAGAGGAACTTCCTGGAATTGAGCTTCAAGTTTTATTTTCCTTTTGATTGGACTCACGTACACGTCTTCCTCCGTTTCCTCCTTTCAGAGAAGAGCTCGCTGCTGCTCTTCCTGCAGAAACGCCTGTTTCTCCATCAGTTTCCTGAACATCCCTTCCCTGTTCCCCAGCAGCTCTGTGGGGGTGCCGCACTCGGCTACATGCCGCTGATCAATCACAGCGACACAGTCGGCGTTCTTAATGGTGGACAGACGATGAGCAATGATCACGACAGTCCTCCCTGCACATCGAGCCAGAAGGGGACAAGAACGCTGCATGTTAGCTTGATGATGGAGTTTACAAACAACTGGAACAGGACGGGAAGAAAAGATGGTGAGATCTACCTTCCATCAGGCGCTCCAACGCCTCCTGCACGAGGAACTCATTCTCAGCATCTAGGGCGCTGAAGGAGGACAAACAGGAAATTTATAATCATTTAAGGTTTTGTTGCAAAGTAAAAATGTTTTTAAAAGTAAGTAACTACTGACAAAACAGTGTAAACAGTGTGACTGCTCTGACTCCATGTCTCCATCTCTTACCTGGTGGCTTCATCCAAAAGTAGGATCTTTGGATTCTGAGAACAAAAACAACAGAGTGTTACAGACAATATTCTAGGTTTCATGGAAAAGATAAAACTGACGCTGAAGCTGTAATTTTAAATCTAAGGCAAGTAGTAGATGTTTTTATGACACTTTCAGGGAGTGACACATAATAAATAGGCAGGGGGGTGCGTCTTTTTCCTGTTGTTTATTAAATTTAAAAATTAGTTGCAAATCCACCAACATGTTCTAGTAAATGGTAACCTAAGATGCCTGCATTACTGTCATCTGACCAAAGAATGTGATGTTAGGCCTGTCGCGAGAAACAATAAATCACTTAATTGCATGATAAATGAAAATTATCGACCTCATTTTCATTTATCGGCTTTATCGTTTCTTTGTGTCTCTCTCTTTCTACTGAAGACACTGGATGACAAAAGGCTCAACTCCGGTGCACTTCACTGATCCTTCCCTTGCTCTTTAAAATCTGTTTTAACCGTCTAAAATCACATTTTTGGATCGTTAAAAGCAGCTAAGCTGAGAAGCTAAGCTACGAGCTAAGCTAACAGGCCAACCTCGGGAAAAAATCTCTGTCTTGTCGAAGCTCAAAATTCACGGTTGAAACCCGTGCCTTAGTCTAAAAAATTGTTTTTCTCTGCAAAAAGCTGAGAACTTATTTATTGATTTTTTTTATTAAAAGCTTTGTGTGACAAATGCTATGCTAAAGAGCTCAAATCACACCGAGGAACTGCCATGTTGAGAACCAAAAAACAGGAAGGAGAGACAACCCATGTCACGTCAAGGGGCCTCCCTCCCGTTTTTTTTAAGATACATGCTGCTTGCTCCCTCAGTATCCATCATTTGGTTCAAACAGTCTTATACTGCCATCCAGTGGTCAAAAAAGGTACTACACATAAAAATTACCCAACATTTCTTTTTAAATTTGACAATAATTACTAATTATTATCAAATTTCAAATAATATAATTTATCACAATAATTTCAGAGACAGTTAATCGCCCAGCAAAATTAGTTATCGTGACAGGCCTATGTGATGTTTAAAGACAAGTGTGAACATAACCATGCTGTGAAGAATGAAACTTTTTTTTTTTTTACCTTGAGCAAAGCTCTGGCTATGGCTATTCTCTGCTTCTGACCACCTGAGGTAAAAAACAAACAAACGGGTTAATCACATGTAAACACAAGTTTAGTTGTGATTTTCTTTTCATTTTCTCCAGAAAACTGTCCTAGATCTAAGATCTAAGACAAATAAATAAGATCTAATGTAAATCCAACATGTTCTCATTATTAAAACAAGTTAAAAATCTGAACCGATTTATTTAACTTTCATTTAATCACAACTAAAGCAAAAAAAAAGACAACCTTACAGCAATGAGTCAATGATGCTACTGGAGTTGTAAAAACTCAACTGGAGAGAGGACAACACTTTTTTTTAAGCTAAGAATCAGAAATTGACCACGTTCTTCTCAGATTCTTGAGGGAAAGTCGAGCCATAGCAGTGAGCTGACTCTGATGTGAAGCAGTGGTTGGTTTCCATGTTGCAGCTCGAGTTTCTCACCTGACAGCAGCACTCCTTTCTCTCCCACAACTGTGTTGAAGCCTTTGGGAAAAGCCTGAATGAAATCAAAAGCGTTGGACACTTTGGCGGCCCTGTAGATGTCCTCTGTGGTCACATCTTCAGGGTCCACAGCACCATATGCAATGTTATCTCTTATGGAACAGGAAAACAGGACCGGCTCCTTGAAGAACAATGAAAAATTAGTTGCTATTTGTTCTAACAGCATTAATAATTTTAGACTGAATATTTTAAATAAAACCCAATTAATATTATTAATTATGATTTACCTGGCTGACAGTTCCAATGTGACCTCTGAGCCAGTAGGGATTTAAATCCCTGATGTCATAACCATCAATAGAGATGATACCTGAAGAAAAAAAAAAACTCCTTTAGTTTTTTAATTTATTTATCTATCTTTGGTCATAGATTGATTTTTTTTTTTTTGAAGGCGTGAAAGCTGATCGGGGGTATGTTTATTTTGTTCTCACCAGCATCAGGGTCATACAGCCTGAGCAGCAGCGAGACAAGAGAGGATTTCCCGGACCCACTGGGTCCCACCACAGCCATGACGGTACCAGCCGGAACAAAGAGATTAAGGTTCTGAAAAATAGGAGCCTCCTTTCGAGCCGGGTAGGCGAACGAGACGTCACAGAACTGTAGCTGGCCCTTCAGCTGATCTGCAGGAAGGACTTGTCCCTCTATGAGACCGTAAAGAAACAGAAACGAGAATAAAGAGGGGGGAAAAACTAAAGAAAACAAACCCTGTGTACAGTATTCTCATTAAGACCAACAATTTAATCCATGTACAGTCACTTAAACAAGATTAAATTCAATCCATTGCCAGTAGCTTTATATTTACTGTCTGGGATTTGAAGGCTTCAGTCGACAAAGCTGGAGTTACATATTTAACCCAGACAACCTGCAGCTAAGACAAAATGAGGGGAATGCATTACACCGTATCCTGCAGGCTGCTCTGAACCATAAAATCTTCAAAAACTATTAATTATTACTATTATATGAACACTCAAATACCAAATATTAGCAGGCGTTAGAAAATGTTTGCTGCCTCAGTAAAAAGGTGAAAACAATGTTTCAGAATGTACAACTTGTGACATGTCTGAGTAAACAAAGACAGTTGTATGAAACGTTGTCTCTTGTTTCACAGTCATCAGTAAAATAATTTAGTTTTCTA